TCAAGGCACATAAGAGCCAGCAACAACACAGGTTCCTAGACCACACACACACTATATGACCAGGGGAGCGTTTTATCAGGTTCGCCTGATTCGCCAGTTGCGGCCGTTTCTGGACCGGGACGCCCTACGCATGGTCACTCATGCCCTTGTGACTTCCCGCCTGGACTACTGCAATGCTCTCTACATGGGGCTTCCCTTGAGGAGCACCCGGAGGCTCCAGTTGGTCCAAAATGCGGCCGCGCGGGCGGTGTTGGNCGGGACTGGCCTAGGGGATTTTATAGGGGTTTTAATTACTTTTAAATTTGACATTTTCAAATATTTCATTTTAATCAAATTTTAACTAGGTGTAATTTGTTAGCTTTTTATCATTTGTCAGCCGCCCTGAGTCCGAAAGGAGAAGGGCGGGATATAAATACAATTAATAATAATAATAATAATAATAATAATAATAATATTACTACTCACTCTTCTCCACAGCTACTCCCACCTGTCTTACTCCTTGTGAGGACTGCTAGAGGAAAACATCCCTTTCTAGGAGCTTCAGGCTGCTTTACTTCCACATACAAATACGCACCTTCTTTCCCCACACCCTCAGTTGTTTCACAGCACAGCTATTCCAGGCATCTTGGCTGTGCTGTCCCCGGGGAGAGGCCTTGGAGAAATGGGACAGAAATACCACAGGTGGTGTCAACTTTCTGGGCAGATTGCTCCATCACACACACAGCCCTTAATGGAGGCTTTTTGCTTGGCCTGAATTACTGGGTGTTTCCTATTTGGGGGGGGGGGCAAAGAAGCCCCTTTGCAAAGGGAAAAGTGTCTCTCTCGAATTCAGGGCTCAAGTTCTTACCAGCTCCAGGCCAAAGTCGGGGTGTCTGAGTTGGGAGGCAACAGCAGTACCTGAATAAAGAATCTCTTAACAGACGATGCAGAGTTACAAAAGGGGCTGCCTGCAGTCCCTAAAATGGTGGAAGGCTGCTACAGTCTACTCAAAATGGCGGTTGGCTGACTGCCAATGGAGTCCAACTCAATGTGGCAGATGGTTTCTCCTACCCCCCCATCTGAAGTTGGCAAACTGCCAGTCTCTGAATGCCTCCAGGAGTGTCCCACAGTCCCACATGCATTTGCAGCCTGTTTTCAGGGGTTCGTGAAAGGATTGTGCAGCTTCTGCAGCTTCTTGGCTGGAGGAAGGAGAAAGCCATCCGGCATGTTGAGTCCTGTCCTGTTCCCGTTGTTCTCTATTTACATTGCCTCCAAAGTGAAAATTCAGAAAAAAGAAAAATGTAATCTTAAAATCAACTACACCCCTTATTAATCAGCAGTGATCTTTGGAAAGTGGAAGGAAGGTGGCAGCAGATAAATATGGGGCTGGAGAGAATATTCCCTAACCCTAACCCTAACCCTACCGCCTCAGCTTTTTACTTTTGCAAACTTAATATGTATGGCTCTTTTTATAACAAGAAATCAAAAAAACCCAGAGAGTTTTATTTTTTTTTGTCTCAACCACAAAATTCAGAAGCAGTTTCCAAGTAGAAACGAAGTTGGATGTATTTTTTTTTTTTATTAAAGCACTTAATTTGGCCATTCTTACTGCTGTCAACATGGATAACAACAAAGTTCTTTTTTTCAAGTTCTTTGTCTATTCAGCCTAAAAGAAATATCCAGGGTTTAATTTTTATATTCTTTTTGAGACTCTTCTGTATTAAAACATGAATCTTGTTTTAATATTGGGAAAATGTGCATTTTTTAACAAATCATTTTATTATAAAAACCTAGAAGAAAGGATCCGATATTTTAAGCAATGCAGCCCCATTGCTAGTTCAGCAGTTCCTTGAGATCCCCAAGCCCATTCCCACAACCATATTTTCAGAGACTTCTGGAAGGAGATCAAGGATGGTAATCTCAGCAGAAAAATCCAATCTCCTGGGTCTACAGGTAGTCCTCGATTACAAACAGTTCATTTAGTGACTATTGGAAGTTACAACGGCACTGAAAAAAGTGACGTATCACCGTTTTTCACACTTACGACCATTGCAGCATCCCAATGGTGAACGTGATTTATATTCGGATGCTTGACAACTGACTCCCATTTGTGACATTTGCAGTGTCCCTGGGTCACGTGATCCCCTTTTGCAACCTTCTGACAAGCAAAGTCCACGAGGAAACCACTTTCACTTAACAGCTATGTTAAAAAATTTAACCACTGCAGTGATTCACTTAACAAATATGGCAAGAAAAGTCATGAAATACGGCAAAACTCACTTAACAAATTCCTCACTTAGCAACATAAATTTTGGGCTCAATTGTTGTAAGTTGAGGACTACCTGTCTATGTGACTCCTTAACAGCCAAAACCCACAACATACCTCTTCTGCTATTGCTGACGGGGTGGATGGATGTAATCGGAAGAGGGGGTCTCATTCCACGAAGGGCTTCAAAAGTCAAAAACAGCCCCTTGAATTGGACTCCGAAGCAAACTGGGGATCAGAGGTGTGACGTCTGCCCTTTTTGTGATACATAAAACTGCCCCCATCGCCACATTTTGTACCAGCTGAAACCTTCCAGATGCTCTTAAGGAGCAGCCCCATGTAGACTGCATTAGAGTAATGCACCCAGGATGGCTATATACATTGGACTATAGACTTTGGGCATCCCTAAAGAAGCAGTCTGGACAGGCTGTGAGGTGTCTGGGTAGATCACGGCCCTCCCCAGATGAGGCCTGTAGAAAGCTGAGCCTAGAGAAAAAGGCCCCATAATGCTTGGGCAAGGCAGCTGCCTCTCCTTCCTCTGATTCCCACAGGCAAAGGCTGTCCTGAGCTGCTTCGGCCTGTCTTGTGTTTGGCTCCTTCCCAAAATCCTGGTTCAGGAAGCAGCCCAGCATCTCATTTACCAGGGATTCTCCAGACCCACAAAGGGTCAATTCATACAGTGGATGTAACTGTGTCAGTCATGAACCCAGGAGGTGCCTTTCCATAACCTTCTCACATTGGGGTACCTGCAACCTGGGTGAATTTTTCCTTCTGGGTGTATTGTGTGTGTAACTTATTTGCATAAGATGCTGCATCCTAAGTCAACCAGTTTCTTAAAGCAGACAAGGTTGAGCCTGCTGTGAACCCAGAGTGAAAAGAGAGGATCTGAAGGTGAGGCTCATCCTGCAGATGGCCAATTTCCAGAGATTCGCCAGCCATTGTAAAGTCCCTCTAATGGCCTGGCCTTCTTCATGGGCAGAAACACAGAACCAGAACTGGGAAAGGGAGGCAAAAGATCCAGACCCTCAGTTGGGTTCTGTTTTTCCTGCACGAGTAGCCAATAAGTCACGGTAGCTGTTTATTCAGATCAAGCGCCCCGAGTGAAAGACGTGTCAGAGATTCATACAGAAAGTTTTTTTTCTTATTCACAATCAGTCTATGTCACTTCTTTCACAAGATTAGTGTTACACGTCATCCATTACATTTATCATTTTTGGTACATTTGTTGTACTTAGTACAAGAGAGGGAGACCTTCCTAATCATTGTCGAGAGTTTCCTGCTGCAGGTCTGTAGTTTGTCAGTCTCGCATGGAAGCCAAAAAAGTAAATGGGAGCTTAGACACTCTGGGAGGTAATTTAATCAGTTCTGACTGTTGCTGGCTTAGTTCAAGATAGTTCGATTAACTTCTGGCTGGTTTGGCGTTTAAACAGGATTTGAGACTTTTCTTCTGGTGAGATTCCTGTTGCTTCCCCCCTTTGCTAATGGAGAGGAGAAACTGCAAAGCGGCAAACCAGCAGGGGGCGCCAATCTCCAGCTCATCCGTGTTTCTGGAAATTCTTCAGGCCCGCCTTGCTGAGACTCTCCGGATCTGAAAGATTTTCAAAGATTTATATTCTTTTATGTTCTATATTTTATATCCTTGAGCAATCAAGCTATCCCCTCCTCTTCCCCACAGACGGGGCCTTATTTCCACTCTGTACATGCTCAGAGGAAAGGTGACTGCAGAAGAAAGCAGATGATTCAAGCCTTGAAAAGACCCTAGAATGTTTCTCATACTTTGTTCATTACAGGAAATGTGAAATCAACTGAATTTGTTCAATCCTAATAAGAAACCAGGATTTCTTCTTTTAGTCCAAGGATTCCCCAGAAGAAGCGCCAAGGGAGAGAGCAGCCATCTTAGTTTATTCTGGGGAAAACCAAAGACTTTGAAACTTCCTAAAGATTCGTGGCTTCCCCAGAGAAGAAAATACCTTTGACATTTTCCCCTAGAAAGACATATCTTTCCCTTGAAGATGCCAGGAGAGCCTTTGAGCGTTTTTCTCCAGAGCGAAGATCATTTGGGATGTCATGACCTAAACACAGAATCATAGGACTGGAAAGGACCTCAGAGGTCTTCTAGTCCAACCCTCAGATCCAGGCAGGAAATTTAATACCATCCCAGTCTAACAGTTCTCCAGTCTGTTTTTGAAAACTTCCAGTGATGGAGCACTCACAATTCCAGGATGAAAATTATTCCACTGATTGATTGTTCTCACTGTTAGAAAATTTCTCCTTCTAGGTTGGGTCCCTCTTTAACAAGCCCCCACCCCTCATTTCTTCTCCTGCCCTCTGGGGCTTTGGAGAAGAAGTCCCTCCCCTCTTCTCTGTGACAGCCCCTCAAGCAAAGACAGACAATTATTATGACACACACACAGACACACAAATAGACACACACAAATTCTTCTGTGCGATAGACTGGGCATACCTCGCTCTCTCAATGGTTCCTCACACCGTTCCTCACGCCTGCGCCCCTCCCCCCAGGCCCAGGTAACCCTCCCGCTTTTCCCAGCCCCCCATTTCTGCCCCTCCCCCCCCAAGAGGCGGAATGCCTGGAAGGGGATTTCCTGACGGGACTTTCGCTTTCCTTTTCCCGCCTGTCCAGCCGGTTGCGCCTGGACGTCTGCCTAGCAACAATGACGACACGAGCATACCTTTTCTTTTACTGGTTGAGCTTGGCCAATCACCAGCTTTTGGTCTGGCTTGTTGCGTTGTTGATCACACAGAGAGCGTCTTTCTCTGCCTGCGACTTCTGGGGAGCGGATCGCAGTTTGAGGGTCGCGGCCAGGATGGCGCTGCGCTCTCTGTCGCTCCTGGTGTTGGTGGCGGTCGCCCTGCGGGAGAGCTGCCTCGGTGAGTCCCTTTATCTCCCGGTGGGGATCCAATCAAGAAATCTCTCCCCCCCCCCAAAGATTATTCCCAGGAAGAGAATCCCGATTCGGTCCTCTTTCGAGTCCGCTCCCCCTCTGGCCCCTCTCAGCAGGGACCCCAAAGCGTGGATGGGACTTTGCTGTCTCCCCCCTCCCCCCCCCAGGAGAGCCCCTCTGGGAACGGGAGAAGGGGGGCCCCTCCAGAGGTCAGTCAAGTCTACCTGGGCGCCCCCGAGCGCCGTTCTTTCCCTCCCCCAAAGTGGAGGTTGTGGGAAAGCGGCGTTTGCAGGGACCGGGTCAGTTCCCAAACTTCCTGGCTGCCTTCGCACAACCCCTCCGCCTGGCTCCTCTTCCCTGCCTTTGGCGGGGCTCGGGGGCTCTTTGGGGCTTCTGGTGCTGGGAGGAGCCGGCTCGTTTCTGGAATCGGTTCCGTGTATTGGCAGACAAGGAGGCTGGAGCACTGGAGCCCTCGGGTTAAGGCTGTCCTGGGAATGCAGCAGGAGAAGAAGAGTCTGGAGAGAAGCCCTCCTTGAACTCTCTTCCCAAAGATCCCCCCTGATTGATTGATTGTCACTTTCCCCTGGATCCCCACCCCCCACCCCGTCCTAAACCCCAATATCCCCAGAGCTTTTTTCTAGGACAGGCAGGAATTTTTCCACCCCAAATCCTCCTCCTTCCATGTCAGGAGCCCCCAGCACGGGAGAGTTTGCAGAATCAACAATATTTAAAGTTTAGTCTTATTCCTTAGTCATCAGATCGGAGGTCTTGGGGTGTCCCTAGTTGTTCCTCAGAGAAACTCTCAATGCAGCAGCTTTTCCAAAGGCATTTCCAAAACTCTCAGGATCTGAAGGATCAGAGAGTCTGGGCTGGAGGCAGGAGGAGAGAAGCCCCTCTGGATGGAGAGCCTGAAATGAGGGGCTTGCTTGGACACAGACAGGCCCAAACTGACCAGCCCTTCCTGACCTGAGGAGGATTCGTGATTGTGAGGACGCCCAACCTGCGTTACGTTCACACGTTTCTCCTCTCAGGCAGACTTCAGACTCCCTCACTGCTCAGCCCCACGAGTGGAAGAAGCGGGTTCTGGATCACGGAGGGTCCGATCCCCCCTCCTTCTCTTAGAGAAAAGCCCTGATTCCTTTGGATCCTGAAATCTCCCCAGAGCAGGAAGTGGATCTGGGGATCCCTCTCCCCAAACGTTCTGAGAAGCCACTGGGACTGTGGGGAGGAGCAGGAAGAAGGAGGCCGAGGCCTTTGCCTTGGGAGACTGGGAAGGATTGGGAGATCATACTGGAGGAACTGGGCAGTGGGACTACAGATAGTCCTCGACTTACAACAGTTCATTTAGTGACCGTTCAAAGTTACAACATCATTGAAAAAGTGACTTATCGCCATTTTAAACACTTAATGACCATTTTAGCGTCCTCATGTTCACGTGTCCAGGATTTGGATGCTTGGCCACTGGTTCATATTTATGACGGTTGCAGTGATCCCATTTTGCAACCTTCTGACAAGCAAAGTCAATGGAGAAGCCAGATTCACTTAACAACGGGGTTATTAATTTAACAACTGCAAGGATTCACTTAACAACTGTGGCAAGAAAATTTGTAAAATGGAGCAAAGCTCACTTAACAAATGTCTCACTTAGCAGCAAAAAATGTGGGCCCGATTATGGTCGTAAGTCGAGGACTGCCTGTATTTATTTCTCGGGGGGGCTTTGGAGATCCTGCCCTTTTCCATGCAGACCCAGGTTCTGCCCAAATAAGTCCCGTGAAGGATCCTGAAAATGATCTTTCAACTCTTTGGTGCCCCGGAAGAATTTCTGACCTGAAGAGCTTTCAGAATGGAGACCCAGAAGGGGCCTTGGGGATTTTCATCAGCTTAATCGATTTCCCAGGAGCATTTTATTCATTTTATTTATTTATTTTAATTCTTTTAATCCACTTACAAGCTGCTGTTTTTCTGTTCCTTGGGCAGCCTCAGAGTCTCTTCCGTGTTTGTGTTTTGGCAATGAAAACTAAACAGTGACTTAATGTGATTTTCTTTTGTCCTTGTTAGTCAAGTTTAGCATAGTTTATGTCTTGTGAATTTAGTCTCTCCTCCAATCCAAGGAACAGGACACCTCTTGGTTGGGAGTTTGCATGATAGAAACTGAAATAATGTATTTTTATCTTTGGTTCACCAGAGGGGCTTTAAAGGTGACAGGACCTTTAAAAAGAGGCTGAGTTTGGGCAGAGGACCTCAGCTGAGAGGCCCCCCAAACATGAGAGTTGGCAGCAGTAACTCCCAAGCAGCCTCAGTGGAGGGGTGGGGCCAGGGTGGAGAGGCCCCCATGGGTTTCTTCCAGGTGAGGAGAATTCTGGGAATTGAAGTCCAAGTGGCTGAGCCTGAGAAACTCTAATTTAGGCCATGTTGAGAGTCACTGATCGTGTGAAGAGTTGGATAGCCACAATCAACTCTCCTCCCAAGCTGGCTGGGGGGCATTTCTGCCTTTCTTTGTGCTGAGAAAGTGCAGGATCAGAACCAGAGGAGGAAAAATTTCAAAGCAGCTTCTCTGGAAAGCGAAGGGTGAGATTCAGAGTAAATCTGGTGCATTGGGAGGGTCTCTGAATGAAGGTTTCAATGCCCTAACTGGGTTGCTGAAATGAAGAAATCTTGTGATAATCACAGTGGGATTTTCTGTGGAATGAGGGTGAGCCCCCTTCTGAGTCCCAGGTTCAAAGCCGATTCCGGCTCAGATGGCTGAACTCTGGGAGGGGAGGGGGAATTTTCCAGCGGGGGGAGGGAAGAGGAGGAAGTTTTGAGGGGCTAGGTGACTTCATTGCTGCTCCCTTCTCTCCTCCCTTTGCCTTCCTATATTTGGGTTTCCCCCAAGGGTCCCATGGCCTATGGTCTCACCCAGATTCTTCCTTTTCCTCCCCCATTTTATGAAAGCCCCCCCTCAAATCTGCAGCTATTAAAAATCCACTTTGGCCCTCAGTGACATAAGAATGTTTTTTCCCCTGCGAATGGAAAGTTGGGGTGACCAGGTGGGCTTTCCTGCTGCTTTTGAGCTTCTGAATGGGAAACCCCCCCCCCTTTTACCTGTGGGGCGACTGCAGCTTCCTTGGGGCAGAGACTGAGCAATCCAGAAGAAGATTTGCAGGCCTTGATGGAAGGGGGGAAGGGCACAATTGGGGCCGGTAATGTTTGGTGGACCCGACCTTCCCCTCCTCTCTCACCCCACCTCCCCTGCCCTCCAACCCTTCAGGCCCTCCAGAAGTTTCTTCTTTCCCTCCCAGTCGCTCCCTCCTCCCACCTCCTTCCTCCCCTTCCATCCTCTCCCCCTTCCTTTCCCCCTATCTCCTCGCCCCAGCTCTCCTCCTCCTCCTCCTCCTTCTTCCTTCTTTCCCACCAGAGCCTCATATTAGAGCCTCCATAGGATGAGGGTCCTTGGCTGGAGCCCCCTAACTCTGCCCCTCTGGGTCCCTTCCAGGCACCTCCTCGCACTCCATGAAGTATTTCTCCTTCTCCATCTCGGAGCCCAGTCAGGGGCTGCCCCATTATGTCTCTGTGGGGTACGTGGACGGTCAAGTCTTTGTTCACTACAACAGCAACAGCCGGAGGGTGCAGCCTCAAATCTCCTGGATAGAGAAGGTGGGGAAGGAAGACCCCCAATACTGGGACAGAAACACCCAGAGAGAACGTAGCAATGAGGAGACCTTTAGAGGAGATCTGGAGATTCTGAGGCTTCGCTACAATCAGAGCGAAGGTGAGTGATGGGTCGGGTGGCTCCTCCTGCCCCATAATCCTCTCCCCAGGAACCAGAGGGGGGAGAAAGGGGGGGTCCCTTCAAAGGGAAAGGCTGCTTCCCCACATTTAAAAAGGTTTTTAATGTTTATTCTTTTAAAAAAATCAGTATAAGCTTGTCAATGCCTCCATAGCTGATGTTTTCTCCCAATTACAGTTAATAAAAATATTTTTTTAAGGATGCGGATATGGATATAACTGAGTTAAAAGAGACCGAAATCTCCCCTCCTCCCCCCATGAAAGTTGGGGGGTCCTGGCCTTGGTGGACCCCCTGCTGTGGGGGAGGGAGGGGATCCCAGGTCTCTCCCCTCCAGGAAAAGAAGCAGGTGGACCCTAAGGAGATCCTGGGGAAAGCAGGTCCCTATTTTTCTGTCTGTTTTCACACCAGAGAAATGAGGGATCAACTGCAGATCCATCTGGGCTGACTAGATCCCTCTCTTTCACCTCTTTTTGAGGGGATGAGTGGGGCCCCAAATGGCAGGAGCTTCTTCTCATCCTCCAGGTGGAAGGAGAGGCCAGGAGGCCAAATGGGGTGGGGGAGATCTTGGGGGGGCACAAGATCACTTCCAGGATCCTCCCAATCTTGAGGGGGGAGGACAGAAAAGAAAGAAACCCCCATTTGGGGCCCTTCCTGAGTCGCTCAGAGCTCTGATGGCTTCCCATCCTTGATCCCTCAGGCTGGACTCCTGCGCTGCCCTCTTGGTGGGGCTGCCCTGGAGGGGGGAGGCCTTCTTCAGCAGCCCCCCCTCCTTCTGCCATCTTTGGGGCACAAGATTCACCTTCCAGGAACCTGATTTAGGGGAGAGATTGGAAGCAAATATCTGTGTCACCAGAGGCTGCTTTGGGCTGAGGTAAACTTTCTCCACAAACATCAGCCATTTTCCCTCCTTTCATCCCAAGGAGGTGCAGCCCCCCTTCTTCTGCCCTTTCCTTGCCCATCCCCCCCAGTCAGACACCCCAGAGAACTGCCAGTTCTGCCCCTGATCCCCGAGGATCCCCCCAGATCCCTCCAGGCCCCCTGCTGGCCTCTCAGGGGAGCAGAATGGACCCAGAGGGCTCCCCCTGGTGGAGAAAGGGGGAAGGAGAGCGGCCAGAGTGGAGGGGAGCCTCCTTTCCAGGCCAAACAGCCCCAAATGTCCCAACCTTTCCTCCAAGGGAGGCTGCTTCCACCCTCCCATCCTCTGGGTCGCCTCCTCTGGACCTTCCCCAGCTCCCTCCTGGCCTTTTTTCAGGTCTGGTGATCAGAACTGCACACAATATTCCAGATGTGGTCACACCCTTGATTTATGCCAAGGCTTTATGACATTAGCCTGTGTTTTCAGTACCATTTTAATGATCCCTGATATCCTGTTTGCCTTTTAAATTTTTTTATATAATTTGTATTGAAACTTTTCAACAAAAGATAAAAACTAATAGAAAGTAACATAAAGGAAATAAAATAAAAAAATAAAAAAAATAAAAAGTACAAAAAAAGAAAAGAAGTTGAAAAAAAACAAAGAAAAAAGACATAAAGAACTGACTTCTGATATTCTTCACAGCAGTTATAAATATAAATATATATTTAGCCTCCCTAAAGCAGCCTTTCTTAACCTTTTGACCCTGGAGGAACCCTTGAAGTATTTCTCAGGCCTCGGGGAACCCCTGAACATCCAGGCTCAGAGATGGGGCAGAATTGTTTCCTGCGTAGACCTGTAGAGATGCATTAACAGCCTTCTTATACTAAGAATAAAAACTTGCCTTTTCAGTCTGATCCCTGTGCTTTTTTTTTGCAGCACAAATATTAAATTCTGTGCCAAACTTGCAATGAACACAAACAGATTTCATCTTCAACTGAAATAAGACGGTTTCTGTCTTAGCCTTTGATGCTTCTGAAATAAGACAGAGCTGGTTCTCAGAAGTTGAAAACTGCAGCCAGATTTTCAGTGCCTTCCTGTGAATGGCAGGAGACTCTTCTTGGGCAGAAATCCAGAAGCTTTTTTCCCCCCTGGGCAGATCAGGGAATCTCCTCTGGAGGGCAGGATCACAGTCAGCTCAGGAGGATCTTCCTCTCCCTCCAAAGGGAAGGTCTCAGGCTGAGCAGAAGCTGCAGAGAAAGGATCCCCTCACCCGGTCACTCATGGGAGTGGAAAGGGAGGGAAAGGACTGGTCAGTTCAGTTCAACTGTACTTACAAGTGGTTTTCCCTCAGATTTGAGAGTTTCTGGCATCCTTCCTCATTCTGAAGCCCAACCAGAAGTAGAAACATTTCAACATTTCTTTTCAGTTTTTTCAAACATTCAGTTCCCTTTTAAATCCAAGAATCTGGTCCCTTAAAGTGAAAATATTTTCTCCAGGACCTTGCAAAGACTGTAAACTTCAAACTTCAATTCAAAGGTCAATAACCCTTTGGGGGAGCAGATCAGATTGGGCCACTTGCTGCTCTTGCTAAGGAAAACATTCCTTTGTGGCCCTTCAAGTCTTCATTCCCACAGTGTACAAAGCCATGGTTTGTTTCTGGTTAGCCCAAAAAGAGAGCCAGCCTTGTGACTTGGTGATATTTGTGAACATGGATCAAGATTTATGGTCACAGGGATTTTTGTAAGCTTCTTTGCAGATCGACCAGATTCTCTCTGAGGCCATGAGATTCTCAGTCCCTCTTTGGAGCTGCAGATTCAGGCAAATGTTCCCTCTCTGGGATCCCTTCCTTTCCCCCCAAGAGTCTCCCCAACAGAGGAACTGGAGAAGGAAAGATGGAGGAGGCTCTGTCCCTCCGTTTCTTTTGTGACTCCTTCTTTTCTCGGTCTCCCTCGGGATCCTCCGCTGGCTTTTCCAGCTTCCCCTTTTCCTGGGGAGGTTCAGGGGCTCCATCCTGGGGGGGGGAATGGAGGAAGGGAGGTCGAGGGAGGGGAGAAGGGCAGGTAGTGATGGGGGCTTTCTTTCCCTTGAATGCTAGGGAGGAAATGGGGGTGTCAGTGCCTGTGTCAAAGTCCCTGCAGGGAAGGGGGTCTGTGTCTATCTCGAGGACTCCCCAAACCATCATCTTGTTCCTATTTCAGGCCTTCACACGTGGCAGTGGATGTATGGCTGTGAGCTCCAGGCTGATGGGAGCAAAGGAGGATTTCATCAGTATGGTTACGATGGGAGGACCTTCCTCACCTTTGACAAGGAGAGACTCACCTGGGTGGCTCCCCAACCCCAGGCCCAGATCACCCAGAGGAAATGGGACGCTATTCCAGGAAAGAATCAGAGACACAAGTCTTACCTGGAGGAAATCTGCATTGAGTGGCTGGAGAAGCACCTGTCCTACGGGAAGGAGACGCTGCTGAGGACAGGTGAGCCCCTGGATGCAGGCTGGACTTTCCTCCTTTATGGCCGGATTTCTTGTGCACATTCGGCCCCTTTGGGTTCCTGGTCTGCCGTCTGACTGCCCAGGAGGGAATCCTCCCCCTCCCCTTCCAGCCCCTCTCCAAGACAAGGGAAGCCGATTGGTTCCCCTTGCCAGGCCGCCATTCAATGAACCAGGAAACTCAGCCTCTACCTGGCGGGTGTCTGGGTGGATCAGGCAGGAGAAGCACTTGGGGGTGTCCTGTTCACAGCCCACAGTGAGGCAACAAGGGCATTTGGGTTTCTTCGGTGAAATCCCCATTAGCCAAACTGTAGTCAAGTGTGGGGTGCCTTTAATTTTCCCCCCATTAATTCTCCTTCCCCCCACATCCCACAGGGGGCTCCTTCCCTGCCTTGCACCTGATGGTGCACCTCCCACCACCACCACTAGGTGGCTCCACGTCTACCATTAATAAGACATCCTCAGGGCCCCTCCCTTGGGCAAAAAAGGCCAAGCTTGAGGGGTTCTTTTCTTCCCAAAATTTCTGTGGATTTTTCTCTTAAACCCCAAACAGGTTCCCTCCTTTCTGACCTAGTGAGTCTTTCCTCAAAACAGCCCCCTCCCCACCTTGAAGAACACCCCCTCACCCCACAGGAGGCTTCACAGTATAATCTTTTCCTGTGGTTTGTTCTTATTTTCCCATCTAAACAACCTCTCCCCACTGGGTCGACCCCCTCTGGGGTCCTTGACCCCCCCTCTAGTATAAGCTGAGTGAGATCAGGGTCCACAGGGGAATCCCCCCCACACACAATTGCCAGTAGCCCCTCCCTGCCCTGGGAGGACTCTCTCTCTCTCTCTCTCTCTCTCTCTCTCTCTCTCTCTCTCTCTCTCTCTTCCATTGGCCTCACCTGTCCCCTTTGAGGGATAATATCTCTTCTCCAAATTAATCAGTCAGAAATTGGAAAAGCCCAGAGCCCCTTTTTACTTTGATTCTGGCTTTCCTCTACTTTAAACTGTGGTTGTGTCCCTTGGAAAGAGGCCTGGAGCAGCCTCAGATTCAGGGGAGCAGAAGGAAACCACAAAAATAGGGAGAAACTTCTGTGTTGTTGTTGTCTTGAAAGGGAACTTAAAAGAGCACCTCCACTTTCCCTCCCCTGAAAGAAACAATCCAAGATCACTCAGAGTTCAAAGCAGCCAGAGAGGAATTTCCTTGGACCCTCAATTTGCTGCTGGAGGTTTTTCAGGCTGAGTCCCTGGGAAGGTCTCAGAATCAGGAGTTCTTGTGGTTGAGCTTTTTCCAGATCTGGAGCATTTCCTAAAACTCTTGGAGACGCTACAGGTGTGGAGTGGGAAGTAGTGGGAGGCTTTCCTGCCCCTCTGAGTTTCCCCCCACCTTCCAGGCTCTGGAGGGGCTCAGAGTTAATTCCAGGGGTGCCGTTTCTGCAGACCCCCCAGAGGTGACCATGAGCAGCAAGACGGAGGTGGAGGATGGGATGGAGACGCACGTCTGTCGCGTGGATGGCTTCTACCCCAGGGAGATTGATGCCTCCTGGACGAGGGACGGGGAGGTCTGGCTGCAGGACACCCTCCGTGGCTCCGTGGCCCCAAATGCTAATGGGACCTATCACCGCTGGCTCAGCATCCAGATCGATCCCAAAGACAGGAGCCGCTATCGGTGCCATGTGGAGCACGACGGCCTGGAGGAGCCTCTGGACATGGCCCTTGAGGGTGAGAGGCTGCAGGGAGGGAAAGGCTGGGCTCTTTGGCAGGCTGGAGGGTTGTGGGAGGGAAATCTCACCCCACCTGTGTCCAG